TTCAGTTAATAGACTTAGAAGGCATTTAAAGATTTTCATCCCCAGAGAAATGTGTCCCTTGTGAAGATTCCCATTATCAACTACTTTTTTTTTTTTCATTTTAACATCTTTATTGGAGTATAATTGCTTTACAATGGTATGTTAGTTTCAGCTTTACAACAAAATGAATCAGTTATATATATACATATGTTCCCATATCTCTTCCCGCTTGCGTCTCCCTCCCTCCCACCCTCCCTATCCCACCCCTCCAGGCAGTCACAAAGCACCGAGCTGATCTCCCTGTGCTATGTGGCTGCTTCCCACTCGCTATCTACCTTATGTTTTGTAGTGTATATATGTCCATGCCTCTCTCTCGCTTTGTCACAGTTTACCCTTCCCCCTCCCCATATTCTTAAGTCCATTCTCTAGTAAGTCTGTGTCTTTATTCCTGTTTCACCCCTAGGTTCTTCATGACATTTTTTCTCTTAAATTCCATATATATGTGTTAGCATACGGTATTTGTCTCTCTCTTTCTGACTTACTTCACTCTGTATGACAGACTCTAGGTCTATCCACCTCATTACAAATAGCTCAATTTCATTTCTTGTTATGGCTGAGTAATATTCCATTATATATATGTGCCACATCTTCTTTATCCATTCATCCGACGATGGACACTTAGATTGTTTCCATCTCCGGGCTATTGTACATAGAGCTGCAATGTTTTTATAACATCTTTATTGGGGGGGGGGTTGTAGGCTGTTTAGAGAAAAGTAAATAATTTTTAGAAAAGATGAATGGGCCCTTAGAAGAATAGATGGGAGATATGAAAATGTAGGGGAGCAAAATTTGCCACCCCAAATATGTCTCTTTGGCATGGGGATTATTTCAAGCTGAAAACAAACATGGCCCCAAAACCTCAGGAAGAACCTTTGACATTTCCCCCTAACTGCCTAAAATAATTTATACAGAGAGCCTGTTCCAGGAAATGAACTATCACCGCAGATAACTTTAGTATTAAAGTGCTTCTTTTTGAATTATCGTTTTCTCAGGGTATATGCCTAGTAGTGGGATTGCTGGGTCATATGGTAGTTCTATTTGTAGTTTTTTAAGGAACCTCCATACTGTTCTCCACAGTGGCTGTATCAATTTACTTTCCCACCAACAGTGTAAGAGGGTTCCCTTTTCTCCACACCCTCTCCAGCATTTATTTCTAGATTTTTTGATGATGGCCATTCTGACTGGTGTGAGATGATATCTCATTGTAGTTTTGATCTGCATTTCTCTAATGATTAGTGATGTTGAGCATTCTTTCATGTGTTTGTTGGCAGTCTGTATATCTTCTTTGGAGAAATGTCTGTTTAGGTCTTCTGCCCATTTTTGGATTGGGTTGTTTGGTTTTTTGTTATTCAGCTGCATGACCTGCTTGTAAATTTTGGAGATTAATCCTTTGTCAGTTGCTTCATTTGCAAATCTTTTCTCCCATTCTGAGGGTTGTCTTTTGGTCTTGTTTATGGTTTCCTTTGCTGTGCAAAAGCTTTTAAGTTTCATTAGGTCCCATTTCTTTATTTTTGTTTTTATTTCTATTTCTCTAGGAGGTGGGTCAAAAAGGACCTTGCTGTGATTTATGTCATAGAGTGTCCTGCCTATGCTTTCCTCTAAGAGTTTGATAGTTTCTGGCCTTACATTTAGGTCTTTAATCCATTTTGAGCTTATTTTTGTGTATGGTGTTAAGGAGTGATCTAATCTCATACTTTTACATGTAGCTGTCCAGTTTTCCCAGCACCACTTATTGAAGAGGCTGTCCTTTCTCCACTGTATATTCCTGCCTCCTTTATCAAAGATAAGGTGACCATATGTGCGTGGGTTTATCTCTGGGCTTTCTATCCTGTTCCATTGATCTATATTTCTCTTTTTGTGCCGGTACCATACTGTCTTGATTACTGTAGCTTTGTAATATAGTCTGAATTCAGGAAGCCTGATTCCTCCAGCTCCATTTTTCATTCTCAAGATTGCTTTGGCTATTCAGGGACTTTTGTGTTTCCATACAAATTGTGAAATTTTGGGTTCTAGTTCTGTGAAAAATGCCAGTGGTAGTTTGATAGGGATTGCATTGAATCTGTAGATTGCTCTGGGTAGTACAGTCATTTTCACAATGTTGACTCTTCCAATCCAAGAACATGGTATATCTCTCCATCTATTTGTATCATCTTTAATTTCTTTCATCAGGGTCTTATACTTTTCTGCATACAGGTCTTTTGTCTCCTTAGGTAGTTTTATTCCTAGATATTGTATTCTTTTTGTTGCAGTGGTAAATGGGAGTGTTTTCTTGATTTCACCTTCAGATTTTTCATCCTTAGTGTATAGGAATGCCAGAGATTTCTGTGCATTAATTTTGTATCCTGCTACTTTACCAAATTCATTGATTAGCTCTAGGAGTTTTCTGGTAGCATCTTTAGGATTCTCTATGTATAGTATCATGTCATCTGCAAATAGTGACAGCTTTACTTCTTCTTTTACGATTTGGATTCCTTTTATTTCCTTTTCTTCTCTGATTGCTGTGGCTAAAACTTCCAAAACTATGTTGAATAATAGTGGTGAGAGTGGGCAACCTTGTCTTGTTCCTGATCTTAGTGGAAATGCTTTCAGTTTTTCACCATTGAGGACAATGTTGGCTGTGGGTTTGTCATATATGGCCTTTATTATGTTGAGGAAAGTTCCCTCTCTGCCTACTTTCTGCAGGGTTTTTATCATAAATGGGTGTTGAATTTTGTTGAAAGCTTTCTCTGCATCTGTTGAGATGATCATGTGGTTTTTCTCCTTCAGTTTGTTAATATGGTGTATAACGTTGATTGATTTGCATATATTGAAGAATCCTTGCAATCCTGGAATAAACCCCACTTGATCATGGTGTATGATCCGTTTAATGTGCTGTTGGATTCTGTTTGCTAGTATTTTGTTGAGGATTTTTGCATCTATGTTCATCAGTGATATTGGCCTGTAGTTTTCTTTCTTTGTGACATCCTTGTCTGGTTTTGGTATCAAGGTGATGGTGGCCTCGTAGAATGAGTTTGGGAGTGTTCCTCCCTCTGCTATATTTTGGAAGAGTTTGAGAAGGATAGGTGTTAGCTCTTCTCTAAATGTTTGATAGAATTCGCCTGTGAAGCCATCTGGTCCTGGGCTTTTGTTTGTTGGAAGATTTTTAATCACAGTTTCAATTTCAGTGCTTGTGATTGGTCTGTTCATATTTTCTATTTCTTCCTGATTCAGTCTTGGCAGGTTGTGCCTGTCTAAGAATTTGTCCATTTCTTCCAGGTTGTCCATTTTATTGGCATAGAGTTGCTTGTAGTAATCCCTCATGATCCTTTGTATTTCTGCAGCGCCAGTTGTTACTTCTCCTTTTTCATTTCTGATTCTGTTGATTTGAGTCTTCTCCCTTTTTTTCTTGATGAGTCTGGCTAATGGTTTATCAATTTTGTTTATCTTCTCAGCGAACCAGCTGTTTGTTTTATTGATCTTTGCTATCGTTTCCTTCATTTCTTTTTCATTTATTTCTGATCTGATTTTTATGATTTCTTTCCTTCTGCTAACTTTGGGGGTTTTTTTGTTCCTCTTTCTCTAATTGCTTCAGGTGTAAGGTTAGGTTGTTTATTCGAGATGTTTCCTGTTTCTTCAGGTAGGATTATATTGCTATAAAGTTCCCTCTTAGAACTGCTTTTGCTGCATCCCATAGATTTTGAATCGTCGTGTCTCCATTGTCATTTGTTTCTAGGTATTTTTTGATTTCCTCTTTGATTTCTTCAGTGATCACTTCGTTATTAAGTAGTGTATTGTTTAGCCTCCACGTGTTTGTATTTTTACAGATCTTTTCCTGTAATTGATATCTAGTCTCATAGCATTGTGGTCGGAAAAGATACTTGATACAATTTCAGTTTTCTTAAAATTACCAAGGATTGATTTGTGACTCAGGATTATCAACTACTTTGATGGGGGTGATCTTTAAAATCAAGAGCGCAGAATCTGCAGTTTAGTTCTGGCTTTATTCACTGGCTGGATAATCACTCCTGCCGTGGGTCTCTTTTGTGATGTGTAAAACGCAAATGGTACCTGTTCAGTCTGCTTCACAGAGATGCTATTTGATATGTGCCCTTGGAGAAAAAACATTTCAGGGATACAGATACCTGAGGTAGCATAATCATTTAAAAGTCGGCTGTGGTATTTGCTCCCTCTAATGGTTGGCTGTGAGTGGGTGAGAATCTGGTCACTTGGAAGCCAGATGTTTTCATCAGCAGAAATCAGAGGGAACAGGGAGGTAGCCAGGGGGGAAACCATGGCTTGAAAGCCACTTTGGAGACAGTGTCATTTCCCTTGGCTTGGCATCATCGTGTGCCCTGGCCAGAGTGACACACGTGTGTCGTGATGCCCCAGCACCTTGAGAACTTTCATGTCTCAGCTTGAAAAGAGACATGAAAGTTAAACAGCGTGCCATCTGCTGAGAGACTGCTTGGGGAAGGTGTGAGAGGCAGGAAGCAACTCGTGACATTGGGCTCTCTGTGTACGGCCCACCCCCTGGGATGCACTGTCACCCCTCGCTCAAAGCTAACTATAGCTACAGCTCTTCCCTGACCTCAGATGGGGAGATTTTCCAAGCACACAATGCGTTTCTGGAATCTGCAGGATGGACAAAGTTAAGGTCTCAGTTGCTTTGCTTAAGGGACTGTCCACTTCCTTTCCAGAGCCTTCCAGCCTTGTTCTGTTCCTTGGTCATTCACTGGCATGTATAGACATATGACTCACAGCTGTGATATCATGGACAATCATATCAAAGCCCCTTGGTGAAATCCCAAGAACATTGAATCTCGGCTCTCTTCTTTCTGTCTGTTGAGTGGGACTTTCGTGAGTGCAGTGAGCATGCCTGCAGTGTGTGGGTCATATTTACGGCTCTGTAGAGACTTCCCTCCCGTGTTTTGGGGCAATGCTGACGTGCTGTACCCTTTGGTCTTGCCTTTCATGTACCACAGGATCGATAAACAAATAAGCAGTTTTCGGAGATGGTTACCTAAGAAGCCAATGAGGCTGGACAAGGAGACACTGCCAGACCTGGAGGAGAATGACTGCTACACTGCCCCTTTCAGCCAGCAAAGGATCCACCAGTGAGTGCTTCCCATGAAAGCCCTTGTCTTACTAAGGACATGCAGCTGTGGTAGAGCCCTCTCTGCACGCCTTTGATTCCTTGGCCCGTGGAAGGAACATCGTAGTGCCCTTCTCCCCTGACAGTCCTGTGAGTGTTCATATCCCTTTTATATTAGTCAGGGTAAGCAAACTGCTCTAACAGACAATCCCCACGTCTCAGCGACTTAACACAATTGAATGCTCGCTCGTGTGTGTGTTGGTGAACCACTTTCTGCGTGGTGATTCAGAGACCCAGACTTCTGTCTTGTGGCTTCGCCAAAGCCCAGTGCTTGGAGCCCCCTGAAGGCTCATCTGCCTTAAGCCAGCAGGTAAGGAAGCTGGTCTACACCTTGCCCTATTAAAAAGAGGGATTGTTGGGCTTCCCTGGTGGCGCAGTGGTTGAGAGTCCGCCTGCCGATGCAGGGGACGCGGGTTCGTGCCCCGGTCCGGGAAGATCCCACATGCCGCGGAGCGGCTGGGCCCGTGAGCCGTGGCCGCTGAGCCTGCGCGTCCGGAGCCTGTGCTCCGCAACGGGAGAGGCCACGACAGTGAGAGGCCCGCGTACCGAAAAAAACAAACAAACAAACAAAAAAAAACTCAGTTCACCTTTCAGCTCCCCTTTCTTTAACAACTCACCAAGTTGCCCCAGGAAAAGCCACAAAACCTAGCAGCCGGCTTCCTGACTCATCTGTCAGTCTCTGAACAGTAATTTGTCACTTTTTACATGTGTGGTTGGGGGAGGGAGGTTAGCCAAGTAATTGAGTATTTGAGGAATTGTGCAAGTGATAAAGAATTAACTCTGAAGCTTCTGATTTGACAAGAAATCGTGGCCGGATGGCAGGGTCGGTGGTAGGAGAGAAAACCATGCCAAAGACTAAACAACCAGGCAAAGACAGCCTCTTAAAAGGAGGATAAATCAAGTCAGCCTGGCCTTGATCCCAGCCAGGCTTCAGGAATTCCTGGCTCTCCCTTTTCCAGATATATAACAACAGCCTCAGTAAAAATGACTTGCCTGAAGGGAAGAAAAGGGGTGACAGATTTTTTAAAAAATAGGTTGCCAACTTTGACAAAAAAATAAACCAAATGGCAGTTGCAGGGAGTGCAAGCTGGGGGCACATTTCTGCAACAGAAAATCAGTTAAAGCCTGTGGGCTTCTAGAGGGCGAAGGAGAGAAGAAAAATCAAAGAATAGATGCTCTGCATCAAAACGTATAATGCACGGGAAGCAACTCCATAAACTACTGAAATAGCCAAACTTTGGATCCCCACAGGTTAGACTGATGCCAAACAAGCCCCATTATGTGAATGTTTAAAAGGGTTATTGAAGAAGACATGAAACTCAGAGCCCAGCCTCAAAATCCTAGTTAAATCCTCCATGGGAAATAAGAACTGAGCGAGATTTCATGTTAACTCAGAGATCAGGACCTAGCATGTTTTCTGAAAAGAAAAAGACAGATGAAAGCTGATGTGTTCCCACTCTTAATTTACACCCTCACTGTGCCTGTGTTGTTTATCTTGAAGTTTCTTACACAAGTGGTTGTTTGTTTTTAAATCCTCCTGGAGTAGAGTCTGGTTTACATTCAGGTTTTCACTTTGCTTCTTACCTGCTTGAGAGAGTGCCTAGCACAGTGTAGGAGAGTCTCAAGAATTTTAGATGGATGGATCGGTGGAAGAATCAGTGAAATATATGTTGTGTGCCTGGGGTTTGTTTTAATTCAAAGGGACACAGGTAAATGGAAGAGGAAGATTTCCTACTCTTTTTCATTCTGGTTTTCTTTCCTAATGTTCTGGCTTTAGAACAAAGTTTCTCAGGAGGGTTCTCAAAATCTGAAGCACCTGGGCACCCATCAGGATCTTTAGGGACTAGAACTGAGGATCATACCTTTACAGGTATTTTAAACTATATAATAAATGAGAGATGACAGCATGTGGGATGGCGATATTCAGCCATCTCTCACATATATTTGCGAAGCTTTTTGTTTTGACATGTTTTGGTATTCACTCACTGAATTATTGATTCATTCAGCGGTCACTAATTTGATGCCTGCTTCCTGCCAGACACTGTCTTGGTACAGGGGATATAAAGATAAATTAGACACAGCCTTGTCCTTACCTAGTAAATAGGTCATTTTATTTTACTTTAAATTTTGTTGGAGTCTAGCTGATTCACAATGTTGTGTTCGTCTCAGGTGTACAGCATAGTGATGCAGTTACACGTATATTCATTCTTTTTCAGATTCTTCTCCCATATAGGTTATTACAGAATACTGAGGAGAGTTCCCTGTGCTGTGCAGAGGTCCTTGCTGGTTGTCTGTTTTATATATAGTAGTGTGTATATATTAACCCCAAGCTCCTGATTTATCCCTCCCCCACCCCTTTCCCCTTTGGTAACCATAAGTTTGTTTTCAAAATGCGTGAGTCTGTTTCTGTTTTGTAAATAAGTTCGTTCAGATCATTTTTAAAATTAGGTTCCCCTAATTTTATGATATGAGTGATATCATATGATATCACATCATATGATATGAGTGATATCATATGATACTTGTCTTTCTCTGTCTCACTTACTTCACTTAGTATGATCATCTCTAGGTCCATCCATGTTGCCGCCAATGGCATTAGTTTGTTCTTTTTATGGCTGAGGAATATTCTTCTTTATCCATTCCTCTGAGAGTACACCATTTTAAATAATTGTAGGCAGTATGTTGGGTGTGACTTAAAAGAGGGAGTGTTCCATCCTCCAGATTTGGAAGGAGGTTGGTAAGAGGTGAGGGTGGGTCACAGGAAGAAAATGCTTGAGATGGGTCTTGAAGGATGACAGTTGTCCAGGTAGGTAAGGGAGAAGCACATCTTAAAAAGAGAGAATAACATATGTATAAAAGTATAAGGAGCGCTTCCCTGGTGGCGCAGTGGTTGAGAGTCCGCCTGCCTATGTAGGGGACACAGGTTCGTGCCCCGGTCCGGGAAGATCCCACATGCCGCAGAGCGGCTGGGCCCGTGAGCCATGGCTGCTGAGCCTGCACGTCCGGAGCCTGTGCTCCGCAGCAGGAGAGGCCACAACAGTGAGAGGCCCGTGTACCAAAAAAAAAAAAAAAAAAAAAAAAAGGTATAAAGACATGAAACCGAATGGGGTGCTTGAAAAACCACAAGTAGTTTTCTGTGATGGGGTGTAGGGCGTGAGAAAGCCTGGCATTATTGTTTGAAAAAAGAGAGTGATTGGTGGAAAATGAGCTTTCAAGATACGAGAACTAAGGAGGAAGAAGCAGAGGGACAGTTGGAACAAAGAAAACCTAAGAACCAGACCTCAGTGGGACCAAGATAATAGTGTAGGCAGTTCTGTTGTGCCATTGGGAGATGAAAAATTGAACAAGTGTCTTGAATGTTATGGGTGGGGGGATTTCTTTCTCTTTGAAAATTGTCATGCCACATGGGCAACATCTCTTTAATGATAGTAGAAAAGTAAGACTTGAAGAGCACTGGCTGTCAAGTTGGAAACAGTTGTTTGGTACAATTTGCAAAAGATTTCCCTAGGATGGTTCGAGAGTGATTTTAGTGGGTTTAAAGTAATCAGAAGTAACTGGTTAATGAGCTCTGGGACTTATAACATGATCTCTTGGTTTTCCAAATGCAGTCCAAAATCTCATGTGACTTCTCAGTTTTGCAGAATGTTTGATATTGTGTTAATCTAGGAATCAAAAAGGACAATAGAAATTTAGGGGGGTGTGTACATGAATGTAGGAGAAAGAGAAGACAATTGGAAATTTAATAAATAATAACCAAAATGGAAAAGAGCCTTAAAAATACTCTGCTCTTGGGATAAAACCCAGAATCCTAGCTTGGCCCACTAGCTCCTGCTTCTGTGGGCTTTGGCCGCGCTGAGCTGCTTTGACCTCATTAACTCTCTGTGCACTCTTGTCTCCTGTCTACACATGCTCTTCCCTTGCCTGGAATACCCTTTCCCTTAGTCTCCCTTCTTGAACGTTGCATCAGAGACATTTCCTCCGGAAAACCTTCCATAATTTCCAGCCTTCACCCCCGATTCTGGGTGTGGGGCACTCTTATATGTCAAGTAATAATATTTTTCCTATCATAGGTCTTAACAGTATCACCCATTTTCATAGCTTTCTCCTAGACCATAAGCTCCTAGAAAGACTGTCTGTATCACCACTATGAGTCCCATAGTTGGTACTTAATAATGCTTTGTTAAATGAGAAAATAGATGAATACATAGAAATGAAAATAGGAGAATCATATTATGAACAAAGAATAAAGATGATGTGAAGTTAGTTCACTGCATACTCATCTCAAACCAAACTCGACATTTTTCTCCTCAAATGTGGTCCGCCTTCATTAGCCCCTGTCCCGTAAATGGCACTAATTTTTGTCCAGTTGCTGAAACCAAGGCCTGAAAGCTATTCTAGACACCTCCCTCACCTCTGCTTCCCACATCTAATACATCTCCAAAGGCTGATGATTTTATGTCCTAAGTGTCTCTTTAATCCAGCCATCTCTGCCACCATGCTCTCACCTCTAAAACCCAGAAATAATATAACAGGTCCCCTGGCTCTACCCTTGTCTACTCCATTCCATTCTCTTAAGTGCGTACAGAATGAGGTTTCAAAGATGCACGACTGGGCTTCCCTGGTGGCGCAGTGGTTGAGAGTCCGCCTGCCGATGCAGGGGACACGGGTTCGTGCCCCGGTCCGGGAAGATCCCACATGCCGCGGAGCGGCTAGGCCTGTGAGCCATGGCTGCTGAGCCTGCGCGTCCGGAGCCTGTGCTCCGCAACGGGAGAGGCCACAGCAGTGAGAGACCCGCGTACCGCAAAAGGAAAAAAAAAAAAAAAAAAAAAAGATGCACGACTAATCATGTCACTTCATCCAGTTTAAAAACCTTAGAACAAATATGAAAATTATTGAGAATGACCTACAAGGCCTTGAATGGCCTGGCCATGCTGCCAACTCCTCTCCAGCCTTATCTGCCTT